GCGATCGTATATGAATGTGCCACGAGTGGCCGCGCTAACGTTTAAGTGTCTTCAAATTAAAGATGGAAGCTCCCATCATACGAGTAGCCACTGTAGCAACAACTATCTGCCAAGACAGAATAGCGAAAGCACTCAATCCTTTTACCCTACGCAAGCCTACAAGGCTGCGCGAATAGAGAGCTGCCACCTGTAACAATTAAAGCGCAAAAACTCACAGTACTACAACACATGCACTGGCAGCTAGCCACTGGCGTGCATACGTTCACATCGTAACATACGACACTACCAGAATGCCATATAAATTAATCAACGATTGTAAGGAATAAAACCTTCTTTAAACCAAATTTAGCTTTTGAAATTTCACTGCTGATATTGTAGCCTCATACATCCAGGCATGTTATAGATTCTACTAGCCAACCCAGCATGTCAAATGTCTTTTCTACAGACAGTCAACAAATCCATGTTTAACCCTCCTCTGATGCGTCAAAAGGTTATCTGACACCTTACTCTTCGCATGTCAGCAGAAAGTACATTTCTCATGTCCATTCAATAATGCCATAAAAAATGCTAGGTCACCGCTGAAACAAAAAAGTTTTTCAATCGCTCCGTCAAGACCATGTCTCAGAAAATGTCTAAAATCTGCCCTGTGCCATGACTTTGACCTGTGACCTCCCAATTTCGGCACAGTGATGGCTTTTCCTTACCATGATGCTATACACCGATATCACGAGCCTAGGTCGAGCCGTTTTAGATTTGTGCCGCCAATCTGCATTTCCTCCCTATACCTTAAGTTAAGGAGTGAATGTTCCCCCCTTCTTTTTACACTCTTGACCTTTGACCTTTGACCCCAGCTTCGACAGCCAACTCGTTTTGACGATCCCCCCAACGCACCCGAATATCGTGACCCGTCGTCGAGCGGTTAAGATTTGTGCCCAACTGTTGAGCGACGGACGACACCGGACGGACACGACCGGTACGGAGGACGGACGGATCGGTACGACGGACGGTTCAACATCAAGCGATTCTACAAGCCTGCCCATCTGACTATGTAGATGAAGCTCTATATGCACCAACATCTCAATATTTGGTAAACGAAATTTTCAACACAATTGTGGTCACCTGGGGTCATCTGGAGGGTCATATTGACAATCCAGTCAACTTGTGGGATATCCCAGACCACGGGCAGCCACGTCTGTACAGAGAAGGATGCCCTCTTTTGTGTTGCAAAACTCAAAGAATGTTGCTGTTCGTTTTATCTGTTTCTGCTTGCCCTGAGTAAACAATGACCACAACAATTAAAGGGATAGTAGACTCTAGGATTTTACTGCATACAACTGTACTTACTGCATATAACAACGACTATACCCACATGTATTGTGTTACCAGTATCTATTTAATTGTGTATAATAAATTATCCACACGTCAACCGCCTACGAAATTTGAACAGCACGCATGACAACCCCTGCGACCGTGCTGCCACCCTGAAACCGTTAGCGCTTTGTCCAATTTATTTCGCATCACGTTACAGGACCGAGGGTAATCACAAAGTTGCAATGCTATATTTTACCTTAATTACTATTTAACCAGAACGACTGTCAGTTTTAGGACAAATTTATCCATAATATAACTGAAACTATATGTCGTTATATAAAAATATTACAATCCTTTTGCTTTAAATGATATAAATAAGAAAACACCCGTCGGTGCGGTAGCCCTGCTGGCGGCCTGAACACAGTCGGTTCTTGCTCAACTTATCAGATCGTTGCGCTTCTGAGTTGGCGCCACCATTCGTCTAGCTAATCAAAACTGTAGTCGTTAGTTTTAACAAAACATTTTTTAATAATATTGTCTCACATGGCGGGATTGAACCATGTGAAGACTTTTCACACTATGCTCGTAGCGTTAATTTTGTAACCTAAATTAACTGGAAAATAACCCGAAACCCTAGAATGAACGACTCCTCCATTAAATAATGCATATGTATTACTACATTCTTGCGCGTGCATGAAGCACACCGTTTCACACCCAAACACACAATCAAAACCACGTGACATGCACATGTAAAACCATCTTCAACATCGTGTTATCACAGATAGTCTATTCAGGAGTAACCAGGGTCTTTAATAAACAGACTGTTCCATTTGCATATGGAGTTAGGCATGATATAACTGGCACTCCAATGGATAAATTGCCAACTGTTCTCGTTAGTTAGACCGCGGTGTCGGCTCTATAAGTCTTGCCTACACAGGTTTATTATGATCGCTCGGCTACAGCAACATACTATGCACCTTATATATTATTATATAATTAGAAGTATCGAGAAATAGCGAAGGAGTGCTGACTTCACTTACAAGGCAATACATCATTTACTAGCCTTAGCAAATACCTTACAATTTACTATGCGATCTCAACAACTTGCAGCTCAAATCGTACACAGTATCATTCCACCTCAGCATCGTGCACAATCGTTTCCTCGTATACACCTGCCTCAATGCCGGAGATACAGGATCTAAATCGTACGACTCAACGATTATCCATTCTGCTGCCTAGCAAATTCTGACTCATAACTCGCCTAACGCTTGAACACTAATAGGCCAGATACTATAACGTCAGTACTTCACTTCTGGTGTGCCCTCGCGCGACTGCTCCAAGTTGTGCTCGCTGTGGAGACCTTGGACATTCGTACCCGAGCAGTCACCCACTCGGCCGAGACTAATCTTTGACTTCATTTTACAGTCTTGGTATGCCCCCCAACGCACGCACATACGCCCACCGCAATCAGCAGCGAGCTCCACTCTTAATCTCCCACTTTTCTCTGAATGACCACCAACGCATCCCTCACGCGACGCTACCGGGCGCCAAGAGCTTCAGTATAGTAGCTGCCTATTCGCTTCAAACAGTTACGCGCGATTATGGAGGAAACACTTTGCCTGCCCAACAGAATGAGAGAATCGGTGTCCGTACGTTTATGTCTGTATCTTCCGGATCCCGGGTGTATACGCAGGTGGAAACCGATTCTCGCACGAGCCTAGGCGAATGTACTGTGTACGCACTTTGAACTCTAAGTTTGGTTGAGCTTTACGCGCCCAGTACAATCGTTTACGGTATGTCTAAGGCTAGTAAATATTTTATTCTAACGAATTTCCCATGCTTTATTAAAGTCACATCCCTCTCCCATTACTCTAATTCCTTATTTCCTCCTATACCTTAAGTTAAGGGAGAAATATTCCCCCTCCATTGACACATCTTGACCTTTGACCCTTAACCGCCAAATTCGACATCCCAAGTCCTTTTCACGATCCCCCCCCCCCAACGTCCCGAATATCAAGACCGTACGTCGAGCGGTTAAGATTTGTGCCCAACTGTTGACGGACGCACGGATGGATGCACGGACGGACGGACAATCATGCGATTCTACAAGCTGCACCCGACTTCGTCAGCTGAGCTAAAAATCGATCTACCTACCTATCTAGCTATCCATCCATCCATCTTTCTATTGCTCTATCTATCTATCTATCGCTCTATCTATATATCTATCTACCTACCTACTAGCTCTAGTACTATAGCCCGCGTACATTGACTGCCGCAGGGCTATAGCACATTGTCGGCTGGAAATAACAACTGCAACCTGTCACCACCTGTCCCCACGAAAAATGGATCGCAAAACGCAAAATTATCGGGCTTTTTAACACTTATCTATCTACGTGGACATCTCACCTATCTTTTTGAACACTTTACACAACTTTACACCATGTATTTATCCTTTTATTCCACAAAGTAAGCACTACTGGAAATTCCCGTTTGAAATTCTGGCGTGCGTACACGTGACGTCACCGGTATTGTATAATATACATGGACCGGATCTGTAAGCAAAACACATGGCATGTATATACAATACCGGTGACGTCACGTGTATGCACGCCAGAATGCGCACTACAACATTTTTTGGACAAGCAAGAGTCAGTGAAAGTCTTATCTTTATTTTTGAAAAAAAAAATTGTGAGGGCTGGTTAAAAAACTGTTGTTACCAGCCTTCTAGGCCGGTGCTAAAAATCTGAATTACATGCCCTGTCTTGAGGATTCACTCACTAGAGACCACTATTGTGAAAAACTAACTTTAATACAACACCCTGCAAAGAAACAACAACTGACATGTACCTCAATGAAACGCACCTCAAACAGTCGAGTGCACTTATGTACTTTGGAGTGAACATCAACCAAGAACCCAACTGCCACAAGAAACTTCGCATCTGGTTTGGAATCATCCACAAAACCATCAATTACCTCTTACAATTATAGAAAGATCGAGCACCAAGAAAAGGTACTTGGGTCATTCGGATGGCCCACTGCCACGCATGCTGCGAGGAGTTGGACTGTAAAGAAGCATGGCAGAAGAAAGATCGATGCCTTCGAGTTAGACGCTTACAGCAGGTTTCTAAGAGTCAGCTAGAATGCACAAAACACCAACTAGCCCATAGTATATGAGCTTCAGTGGCAGGTCAGACACTTTGAAGCCATTCAATGAGAAGGTGGTCTAATTACATAAAGGAACGGTCTGGCATTTCACTCTCATGCTACACCTTTGCTCCACAAAACTCGAGGCTGTGGAAGATAATCATCGAGATGCCTGCGATATCAGGCTTTCATCAATGAGGATGGAATGCACACACACACACGCACATCTAGACTCAGAAGCACGTATGCACCTATGCACGCACGCACGCACGCACGCACGCACGCACGCACGCACGCACGCACGCACGCACGCACGCACGCACGCACGCACGCACGCACACAGGATCTATATATCCACAACACTGCAATATGCTTTTCATTCGCAATATCACTCTAGTTTTACATAACTCGAACATGATGAATGGTTAGCATGTTCGCCACTAAAAAATTGTCTATCTGAGCTCCTATCTTATCTTCCTTACAATCCATTATTTTCATATTCTCCCTATTATTACTGTTATATTTTAATTAATACTCTATCTTACCTGCCACGCACCAAATGTGGTATCGACTTTGCCTGGATCTCAGTCATGTGTGTGAAGCCCATGTCTGCTATCGCACGCAGGGTATCGTCACAGACACTGCCTCGCAGTGACTCAAACGAGCTATCCGTCATAATCCCACTATTTCCCGCACCAGGTAGCTCATCCTCATCCTGCTACACATAAAATTCATGTTAAAATATGATGTAATATTAAAGTTCCTACTTTAACACCCTTTTTAGTTAATACACTTTTTTGCCATCTCTGTTTTATACACTCTAACCATTGAAATTACAAAACATTACATGATTTCACTTACTCTGTATGGAAAAAGGAATAATATGGCCATCTAATCAGCACTGTTTGTGAATGCTAGAATAACTGATACTGTGTGTCGTTTATAAGTGTATACACTTCCTGTCAAATTCATATTAATTACTTTGTCTAATTTCAATGCACCTACCTTACAAACCAGCCTTCTCAATGTTGCTTACTAACAGTCCCAATAAAAATTGGGTGCGAGTACACACTGTATCACACGGCAATAAAAGTAACAGTTTAGAAAAAAGATATGGTTCCTGTATGGTCTCACACCAGTAACGAGCTGAGCATGTGTATGGTCCAGCATACGTATGAAAATGTGCAGTGTAGAAAGTATTGCCACACCAGCTTTGGCAATTGCAATTCAAATTGTAGACAACTGCTGACAAATTTATGCAGATGATTTTCAATTGAGCTTTTTATTAGTAAGCCACATCGCAAATTTTGCCTGTAAGGTTACACACTTAATAAATGACCCAAGTTGCCAGTTATTAAAGTGTAGTGTTCAATAGACATATTCTTCCTTTTAGTTGCTGCATTATACATGTATATATATATGCTGTGACATAAACTACTTGGTTAAATCATCTTGCCTATACTACTTGCCTGGGAAAATGCCAATAACTCTGACACATGACCTGCAATGAATGGAAAAATAGGACATTCGGCAATACTCACATTAACAGCACATTCTTGTGTCTGTGGATCTTCATAGTCATAAGGTAAGGTTTCATCGTTTCCATCTCCGTTTTGAGTATCAGATTCGTGTTCCTGACCTTCCTCTAGTAGCTCCTCTTCTCTTGCCTCTTCATCTGAGACATTGTCTTTCTTCTGCCACGCACACTTAACCTTCTTTGCTAGTTTCTTACTAGGTGAGGCCTGACTTTCTAGCTTTCGTTTCTTCTTCTTCTTCGTTGTCTGCTTGGGCACTACAGGACTCGTGGTGGTCACATCAGCATCCTGAGGTTCTGTCGCATCTGCCTTCTTTTTCTTTGTCCTTTTCTTCTTATTTTTTATTGAGTTTGTGTTAGCAAGTGACATCTGTGATACCTTTGCATCCATCACATTCATTGGGGAATTTTACACAAGGTTCTTTTGCTTTCTTGTCTGCCACACTTGAACTCACTGGAAAAGATTTAATTCCAAGAGTATTACTTTGTATAACCCTCAGCTAATTAGTGGGTAATAATTGCTTATGAATAATATACATGTAAACAATGGTGAAGTTCTTTCTCATGCAGGATATATCTGTCATTCGACAAAAATAGCTGGAATCTGGTGATAGATTATTGTTCTGCCTCCAGCTACATTACCCATGCAAACAAGTGCCGCAGAGCGACAGCGCTCAACTGACAGGTACTGCAGCCGGGTATTCTTCTGATAAACTCACTGGCAACCAAATCAAGTGCGCCCTCCCGCCACCGCGTTCGTGCTCACAGAATATATCTAGGATACTACTAATACCAGGGTTCTCCAAGAGCACGTATAGCCTGGCGGCCCGCCAGGCTATCGTCGAGCCCCGCCATCCTAAAATGCACCCGCCAGTCTAAATATCATAGCCGCCATGCTAAATATCATAGCCCCCGGACCCCCTAGCACGCAAACCGCCTTCGGCGATTTGCAACTAGGACCGTAAAGGCAGCACCCGCCATGCTATAATGAAAAAGCTTGGAGAACCCTGAATACAGATCTAAAATCTATGATAGCTAGGCTTTGCTATACCAGTAGTACAGTAATAAAGATACAGCTGTGTAACTTTAATGACTTCGCTATATTAACATGTTATCATGGATATGCGTCGAGCGCGAGAGTAGTTGTGGTGGTGGGGGCTCTAATAGCAAAAGCAGTTGCAGCGAGATGGCGAGTGGTATAACGTTGAAATTGATTGCTACATGTGCAAGTACCATTAACTGTCTCTGATGCTTGAATAGTGGAACGATACGTTTGATACCGTAAACTCAATTTTTCTATTTATTTTTAAAGCTAACATGGCTTGCATGTTATGTTATTGGCATAGAAATAATATAGATAACCCTGGTTATTTATATTATTTCGATGGTTATTGGTATCCTTGGTTTTATTGAAAGTTAATATAAGTATGAAAGACATGTATTTATGCATACTACATTTTAAAAAAGAAGTAGAAATTGTATTAATATAAGAAGAATAGAATTACGTCATTATGGTTTAGTTTGCACAAGATTAACAAATTTAACTAATAAAAATATGGAGTAAAAATTAAAAGTATGTACTTCAAGTGTGTTTGTACATTTCAGCATCTGGCTCTGTGTGCACCAAGTGCCACTATCGCCTGGGCAAAATGATGTCCGAATCACAAATGCTACCAACAGCATCAGGTAAGAAGAACATGAGTGTAATTCGTTAATTGGATTTTTAATAAATATATAAATATTACTGATATTACTTATGGATATATCTGGTTCTATATTCTCTATTTGTGGCAACGTCAAGGGCAAACTCGCGCCAACACAACCCGCCGACCCGTCCACGTGCGGAAATACATAGTTCCCGCTGACTGGCGCTGCTGCAGCGCCACCAAAAATGGCCGTTTTATGTTCATAAATAATGTTCGTTCACAAGAAATATCGCAAGTAGACAATTGCAACGATAGTTAGAGGTTAAATTTTAGTAGCGAATATAACTTAAGACATATTCACTTCAGATAAGCGTAAAGCAGCATTAATTGCCTACCACAGACGTTTTATAGCCGTGAGTAAGCGTGACTAAGTTGGTCCCGCGCATCCGTAAGAAAGATCCTATAGCCCTGCGGCAACCGTATGCGGGCTATAGCCTAGTAGTAGTAGTACTAGTAGTATAAATACTAGAGCCCTAATGAATGACATGAAATGTTATTTCGTATTTGAAACTTCAGATTTTTATTTAGTGATCAGTATATTACTATAATACTAGATCAGTACATGTGGGTATATGTCACGTGTAATACTAGGCCTACTACAGTACAAATCATACGATTCAATTACTACTAGTAGTACTAGTAGTACTAGTAGTACTAGTAGTACTAGTACTACTAGTAGTAGTAGTAGTAGTAGTAGTAGTAGTACTACTAGTACTCAGTACTAGTAGTGCTGAAGGGGTCGTTGTCGTATATGTAGTACCCGAGGTGTCGGCAAGTATGTCGCCTACGCCTACTCCCTAACCCCAACCCTAACACCCTAACCATGGATATCAGATAGTTACCTCGGGTACATATTAATTATTATATACCATTATACGACAACGACCCTTCGTGCACTAGTAGTACTACTAGTAGTTACTACTAGTACTACTAGTACTAACTATAGAGCTCATAGGGTCTATGTCCCCCAGGTACTGCCGGAACGTACCATGGTAACTATTTGATATTGTTAGGGTTAGGGTTAGGGTTAGGGTTAGGGTATAGGGTTAGGGTTAGGGAGTAGGCGTAGGCGACTCCCTAGACTTGTTAGTGGCGTAGGCGAGGTACGGTCCGGCATATTAGATAGTACCAGGGTAAGTTCCGGTATACCGGACCATACCCAGGGTACGTTCCGGCATAGCTTTAGTACTATAGACCACGTTCATTAACTGCCGCAGGCAGCGCGTGCAGCCGAGGCAGCACGCAGGCCTGCGGCAGTTAATGAACGCGGGCTATAGTACTAGAGCTAGTTCCGGCAGTACCCTGGGGTGACATAGACCCTCTCACCCTAACTAGACTAAACCGACCAGGCTCTCAGACTGTTACACGTCGTAGGAGTTAGCGTATGTAACGTAGCCAACGTACATACGTAGCGTACGCCAACGTAGTGACTAGTGAGTAGTGTCACTGTTATTGTTAGTGTTACTGTTAGTGTTATTGTTGCTGATAGGGTCTATATCACCCAGGGTACTGCCGGAACGTACCCTGGTACTAAATACTACTATCTAATATGCCGGACCGTACCTCGCCTACTCCACTAACGAGTCTAGGGAGCCGCCTACGCCTACTCCCTAAGTTCTAACCCTAACCCTAACTCTAACCCTAACCCTATAGCCCTAACCATATCATTATCAGCTAGATAGTTACCAGGGTACGTTCCGGTATATACCGTACCGTACCCAGGGTATAGATGTAGGGTCCCCGGCATTACCCTGGGGGACATAGACCCTATGACTCATGAGCGTTAACTTATTGTTAAAGCCGCACAATGCGCATCCAAACGCTAATTTCTCCAGTACTAGACTAGCAAATACTTCGTGTCATCCATAATCACACTACCTTATGACAAAATAAACTCTAGTTCCTCCCATTTCACTGCGCGTTGTCTTATAAAAGGTATTTGGAAATACCTCCAATGTTGTTCAGATTCTCCGATGTTGTTGACAGTTTCCCCAAGCAACCGTGCAGCGGGCAGCGGTGCTGCGGTACGGGTGTAGCAAAGATAAAAACATGTGACGTCACCCTAACCAACTAGTAATTATCGAAATAAATAAATCTAAATAACCACTTCGAGGCTAAATTGTTTGGCAAACAAGCCGGCGTTAGCGCCAGAATGCCAGTTTTCTCACCTTTTCTTGTGGGTTTTAAGCAAACGCGCAGTGAAATGGAGCAACTAGAGTTTATTTTGTCATAAGCTAGTGTGATTATGCATGCCACGAAGTATTTGCTAGTCTAGTACTGGAGAAATTAGCGTTTGGATGCGCATTGTGCGGCTTTAAGCGAGAAGGGAACTTAAGTGCTGTGGCTATAACTAGACTAGTGACAGTGTTTATACTCAGTTGGGGACCATCTCAAAGTCGCATTAAGCCTTGATCTCTGATCTAGTACTAATTTATCGATTAGTAACGACTTACTACAAGATAGTGATTATAATGGAATAATTAAACTATCTTTTGCGCATTCATTGCACTTGATCATCAATCCACTGGCGGCCATGCAACTCCTAGCACATGGCAAAACAAGTTTAGATAGAGATCATCTAAATCCTGAAAGGCACCGAATGACGGCGAAATGCACCGAAAAGTAGCGATTCCGCCCACAAAGTTAGTGAAAGATAGCGACGGCACCCACAAAATCATCGAAAGCTATTGAAATTAAAGGCACACACAAAAACAACTAATATGTACGCTAAAATGTGTGTGTGTGTGTGTGTGTGTGTGTGTGTGTGTGTGTGTGTGTGTGTGTGTGTGTGTGTGTGTACGTGTGTGTGTGGCCAATGGGGACGTAAAAGAACCACCGAAGGGCGTAAAAAACTGGCTGTGACCACCATCAGTGCCATTCGGCTAAAAGGCTATACCTGGCTTTACCCAAGCTATAGGTCACAACCCCATGGCTAGCTACGGCCGTTGGCAGAATCATCAGTATGTTGATGGTGGCCAATATAGAGTAGAAGTAGAAGTTGAAGTGTGTGCGTGCATGCATGCGTGCCTGCGTGCGTGTGCGTGTGTGCGCGCGCACGTGTGTGTAGTGTTTTCGTTCTCACGTAGGTTTAATTAATCACACACTCGTGTGTCTATGGGTTTGACTTTATGCTATATATAGCATAGATATTTATATATGCTTCAGTATCGATACAAACGAGAGTGATAGAAAACAAGAAAGTCCTTTCGTAGTAAACAAATTAACTAGTTAAAGGAACAGTAGCCTCTAGGTTCTAGGGTTATTTTCAGCTAATTTAGGTTATAATTGCGCTACATAAAAAGTTTCATGGGTCCACCAAGAATAACTTAATTATCAACTACCCATCAACGCATACCGATTTGAGAGGGCGCCATAACACCCGCGACCGCTGCAGCCCTGAAAAAGTGCGTATTTGCATTTATAGTTTTGCAGGTAAATGACCGAGGGCCTAATCACAAAAGTACCAATTATATACTTAACCTAAAGCTAATTTAACCGAACGATTATCATCTTTTAGGCAAATTTATCATATATGTTAATCTTGGGAAACCCCGATATATGCTCGATAATAAAGATATAACAATCCTCTTTGCTTTTAATATGAAGGTCTAAATAATAAGAAAACCTCGTCCTTGTAGCCCTTGGATCTATGAAAGTGGTTATTTGCGCACTTCTCAGATTCGTGCGCTTGAGGCGGCCACCGTCGTTGTAATCAAACTGTAGTCGTATAGTTTATAAAAATCTATTAAACCATAAATTATATTTCTAATGTGATTGAACCATGAAACGAATTTATTATGTAGCGAGGCATTATTAACGCTAAAATGAAAAATAGAAAGAAACCCATAGAGCCTCATGAGGCTAACTCTGTCCTTGCGGTTAACTAAGTACAATTGTTTACGTTAGCAAAGGACTTTCTGTTTTCTATCACTCTCTTTGTGATTCGCGTTACGAAGCCTTAGTATAAACTATCTATGCTATATTATACCATAAAGTAAATACACTCAATGAGAACAGCAACGAAGTAGTAGCGATTTATATTAAAGCTTATACGTGATGAGAACGAAAACCTAACAACATACACGATGGCGACGCAGCGACAGCACACCACACCAACGCATCACCAGCCATGCATGCACGCAACAACACTTCAATTCTAGATTATCTTAACTTTAATATTCGGCCACCATCACATACTGAATTCGCAACGCCGATAGCTAGCCATGGGGTTGGCCTATAGCTTGGGTAACGCCACGTATAGCATTTTAGCACGAATGGCACTGATGTGGTCACGCAGTTTTTACGCCCTTCGGGTTCTCGTCCCATTGGCCACACACACACGACCACACCCACACCACACACACACACACACACACCACCACCCCACACAACACACACCACACACACACACACACACACACACAAGTACACACACACACACACAACACACACACACACACAGAGAAATGTCTTGACATTATACACCAACACACACACACAACACACACACACACACACACACACACACACACCGAACAAACTATTTTATAAGCG